CTCTGAATCCAGCAACCTCTGTCGAGCTTCCAGAACGATCTCCTCTGTCACCTCTGGTTTGAGAATGTCCTTGATCTGCAGTGGAAAGAAGAGCAACATGAGCACCAGGAATCAACAACTACTTCTGCACCCTGTGGGGAGACAAAGGTCCCTGACACATGGCAGCAACCAGAAAAGGAGTTTAAAGGGTTGTGGTGAAAAAAGACCTGTGGCAGAGGGTCCAAGGCATAACCAACTTTGCCAGTTTGGAATTCTTACAGAGACCAGAGGAAATCAAAGGAGAGGCTACTAACCCTCCTCATCTCCCCTGAAGGACACACACTTGTACTTGGGAAGGGCAGAGATGACTTAAGCACAGTTATACTTTAAAAGAACACTTCATTGGGAATGAAAGCAGAATTCAAATCTCATTTACTTATGGGAAGAGAATTGCCTGTGATAGTGCTGGCAGAAATCACAGTGAAAAGCTGTACAGCAAGAGGTCAAATGGAGGCAGTCTTCCAGAGTGCAGGATGTGGATACAGACATGAGCCTGCTCTCTGTACAATACATGACATTTGCTTTTTCATTGCTTCATAAAATGCACTGTACCCTCACACAATGCCAAATTTAATACTGTCTTCACAGGAATTAAAGGGTCCATAATGCCAGCGATGGATACACAGCATCTATCAAAAAAGGGACTGATCTCTTTAGGAATAGTTAGACTTTGTCAGAAGCAGAACCTTTCAAACTATCCCTGGAATTGTGCAAGGCAACTTCTGTTGTGCAGAAGAGGAGAGTTCATACTGTCACTTACTACAGGATGCTTTGGTAAACTGAAAGGAAACTCTGACTTCAGCAGCAACTGATGCAGCCTTTCTGTTCCCTCCCCTCAGTGTGGAATAAACACTACTGGTTCCTGTACCTGATGAGGAAGGGATGCTTCATAGCAATACAGGATGCTGGTGTCAAAGAGCATAATCTTGTGAGCAACCAGAGCCATGATGCAGTTTCGGAGCCGTGAGATCACCTCCCGCTCAGACAAGGGAACTGGCTGGGGAAGGACAGAGGAAAAGGGATGAGTGCACAGGGAAATAAATAATGCAAGGAAAAAAGCCTTGCTGTGAACCTAATACGGGATCCTGAAAGTCTCAGGTTACTCACGTGCCTCTGACTATGTCAGACTAAAAACCATCACTGGCAGAAGAAGGATCTCGCTCCCTGGACTCACCTCCAAGTTGGCAGTGTAGCCTCCAGCCTCGTCATCCTTCTGCTCTGGAGTTGGGTAGATCCAGATGAAGCCATTGTTGCCGAGGATCACGGATGCACCACAGGGCAGGTCATGGAAATGAGTCTTCTGGCGTTTCACAAGGGAGGGAGAGACCTGAACCAGCACACCCTGGGCAAGCTGGAGGGCAGACCACAAGTCTCAGCATGAGAGACATCATGAGCCACCACACACAGCACCAAGTCACTGACACACACTCACTCCATTCCTGGCCTAGGAACAACTCTGTTTTAACACCTTTTCCTGTGAAACAGTGACTATAAAACCTGCCTGCCTCTGGGAGCGCTGGGAGGATTAGCTAATGCCTGTGCAGCCCTTTGAAGATGAAGAATACTTTAAGTGCTTAGCACAAATGTTAATAATATCTTGATCGTAACTACACATCAACCATCCCTGCAGAAAAATGAGGAGTCAGAGGCCCAATTTAGCAGAACACTTTCCCTCATAATCCAATCACTGTCCTTCACCCTTTGTGCAATAAGCACACTTCCCTTTCATCTTTTAAGTGCTAATACCCTTGGTCTGGTAATCCCAAACTGCAGCCTACGCTCCAACGGCCCCTTGGCTTATTTCAATGCACAAAACCAGAGATAAATGCCAACTGTGTAAAGCCTAAAATAGAGCCCTGGGGAGAAGAACGAGTTACAGGGGCAACAGCCAGCAGAAGAGGAGTGAGGAGATCTCTCCCCAGGACTTAATTCCCAAGTGGCTAGTGGGGGAAACAGAACTAGCAGGCTGAAACTGCAGACAGGGAGAGCAGTGGATAAAAGGGCAACTCAAGGACACCTCCTTTGCTTTGGGGAAACTCTGCTTGGTGGTCCCATGGAAGAGCTAAGAGTCTTCCTGTCCTGTAGGAATGAGTAATAACAACATCCTGCTCTACTCCATAGCTCTTTCCTTAAAAAACCCTCCAAAAGGCCTTCTACAAATCAGCTGGTGCAGAACTATCCCAGGGTCAAGGGCTTTGGAATAACTCACCTTCCCATACTTCAGGCTCCGGGTGTGCAGCGATACAGCCCCATCAGAAAAGATGGACTGGACCTCTGCCTGTTGGTGCCACTTAAGGAAACAGGGTCCCTAAGGCTGCCCAGTGCCACCCCAGCACAGCTCTCACTCCCAGCCAGGCCAGCCAAGCTCTCCCTTCTGTCAGTGAGAGCAGCAGAAGGATACACTGATGAGATCCCCTTCCTGCAGGTAGTCCCTCATTGCAAGCTCGTCTTCTGCTGATTTCCTTCTCTGAAACATCACCAGAAAAGTTACGTGTAGCCCAGAACGAGAAAACATCCATCAGTAGCTCTTTGTGGAGGACCTTAGGATGCCATGCAAAACACAACCAGCTACACTCACCAGCTCCCCACCAGGTAAATTTATAGACGACAGCAACAGGACTGAATCCAGCCTGGAATTTGTTTCCACTTTCCATCGCTTCTGCTGAACCTAAGGGGAAAAAAAACCCACCCAAACTTATGGCTACACACTCAAAAACTGAATAGGAGCCGCAGCTCACCAAGCTGCAGGAGGGGACAGCTCTGCTGGCTTCTTCCAGCCCCATCCCAGTTAAAATCCACACGCTCCAGTACCCTGCGCGGGGACACTGATGTGTTTTAGGATCCCGGGAAGCGCTTAGAGCGGGACTGAGCCACGACCACCCTCCTCCTGCCGCTCGGCACCGCGGCTCACACGGGGCCTTACCTCGGTAATCCTGCCCACCACGATGTCGCCGATCTCGCCGTTGTACCTGCACGGAGAGCGGCGGTCACACACCTCACCCCACCGAGCCCGGCCGGGCCCGCCGCCGGCCGCGCCCGCGCTCACCTGGCCTTCAGCGCCCTCACGCACACCAGCTTGTTCACCCTCTCCACCACGCCGGCCACCGAGGCGATCAGCTTGTCGTCCTCCACATAAGTACCGTGGCCCCTGCGGAGAGACAGCGGCTACCTAAGGACAGCCCGAAGCCGCGCCACCCCGCCGCCTCCCCTCCGCCGCTGCCCGCACCTCATGTATCCCGTGTCCGTGGTGATCGTGTCCCCCGGTGCCACCAGGTGCTTCTCGCCGCCCCGGAGCGCGCTGGAATCCAGAGGAGCCCGGGCAGCCGGCAGCCTCATGGTGACCGCCGCCATCTTGGCCCCGCCGCACGCGCCTTCCGCCCGCCATGTTGGCTGCTGGCGAGAGCGCGCCTGAGGGCGCGGGCGCCGCCATCTTGAGTGAGGGCGGCAGGGGCGGTGACTGGGCAGCCATGTTTGCTCCTGGCAGCGAAGGGACTCTGGGGCTTCGCTCCGGCGGAGCCCAAGGGGGACCGCGGCCATTTTTAGTGCGGGCAGCCCTCAGCAGCGACCCGCTCCCACAGAAGCCGCCCGGCAAACCGGGGGGAAACCTGGGAGCCGTCCCCCGTGGCTCACCGGACCCCACAGCCCGGGCCGGGCTGCGGTGCTGCGGGTCGAGGCGGGGAGCAGCACCCCCAGTTCGGGCGCCCCTCACACAAGGTGTCTCTCCCTGAGGGCAGTCCCTCATGCCCTCCCCAGCTGGCCGGTGCTCACGCTCGGCTCAAACATCCCCGCGGGACTCGGGGCTGAGCCTTTCCCTCAGCCGAGCTCTGCCAGCACGAACTGATACGTCCGTGGAAAAGTTTTATCTATTCAAGCACCGGTTCGGCTCTCAGGGCTGCCGAGGGAATGCCACGGGAAAAGCAGCCCGCGATGACCGTCAGCAAATATGTCCCTTCCTTCCAGCAGGGCCTGTGTCCCATCACAACCAAAATATGGGCACTAAATCATGGAATGGATCAAAGGATGTCAGTAGCTGCGGCTTCAAAAGGGATTGAACAAGTTCACAGGAATAGGGACTGGCAGGGTGGAATCAGTAGATACCACCCACTCCAGAGTGAGCCAGCCTTTACCCCAGCTTCCAGACCTGAAAAAGGGCTTCTTTAGCCAAAAACTGGGCTTTTTCCCCCTCCCAGATGCACTTTGTGGTCCAACAGATGACACCACATCTCCTCACTCACAAATTGTTGTGGTAGTTAAGACCTTCACTCATCCCAATACCCACATCCTTCCCCTGGCACATAAAATAAAGCTCTCCATGCAATCCCTCTTCTAAATGATAAATGTTCCAAGTAATTTTTATTTAGAATACAAGAGAGGTACAAATGTATTTACACTGTGTACATATACAATCAAATAATATATAATATCAAAGTCTTGTAAATAATGTTTACATAAATATTTACAAAGTTAAAGTGACAGTTGTTGGGGTTTTTTTTCCTTTTGTTTTTGTTTATTTTCTTCTGGAAGTGAAACACGGTTTGTGAGAACTTTATACATCTTAGACTTATAATTAATATTAGAATACCTTTTTTTTTTTTTTTTTTTTTTTTTTTTTAATATTTATGGTACACAGTTCTCCTCCGCAGTGTAGGGACTCCAGAGGGCGCTTAGAGTTGTCCTTGGGGACAGAGCTGGCCCGGGGACAGGTTTTCTCTGTCCCCAGAGGGCAGTAGCGGTTCCAACCAAAATGTTCCTTCACAGCTGGGAAAGGGATGGGGAGAAGTGCTGCCAGGGCTGGAACAGGCACAGCCCGGCAGAGCTCATCGTCCCCGCAAAACCTGCCCGTGGATGGGCATTCCCAGCTGGCACGGTGTCCCCTGTGCCCACAGCATGGCTTGGAGCGGTGACAGACCCCAGTGCAAGGCTCTGGCTGGAGCAGGGCGGGCAGAGGGGGCTTAGGTGCAGGAAAATGCAAATGTTCACTAACTCGGGGCTCCCGAGCACGGAAAGGTGTCCCTTGGAAGGAGCCACTGGGGCCAAAGCCACTCCTGGGGCAAACAGGTGTGACTGGGGTGGCCGCATCAGGGCTGTGCCAACCTTTCAGTGGGGCACGTCTCTGCTAGAGCAGAGGAGGACAGATAAGAGGAATTTCTCTTTCTACCAAATAATCTGTAGAACCCAGGCATGACTCCTCCAGGTCTGGCTTTTCTGCTCTCCCAGTCCTCCCCAGTGCGCTGGCAAACCCACACAGAACATCCCACTGCATCCCTTCTCCCCTGCCAACCCCTGTGCCACATCTCCCTGGGAGTGATCCCGCAGAACACAGCTGCAGAGCTGGGGGCTCCCCTCCTGCCTACCCCCAGCCCATAAACAACCCAACACTCTCCGAGACACAAAGCAGCTCAGCCAAGGGCCTTCCCCCCAGTTCATTGCATGTCTCAGCACCAGTCTTTGCTGTCCCAAATCCCGCTGCCGCACCGGGGCTTCACAGCACCATGGTGGGGATGTGGTGGGCCAGGGAGGCAGGGTGGGGCACGGGCAGGGCGGGCGAGTGAGCCTGCAGGGAGGCGTTGGGGGGCCGGTGGCGGGCGCTTTTCTGGTGCGCCCGCAGCCCTGCGAGCTGCGAGTAGGCACTTTGGCACACCTGGCACTTGTAGGGCCGCTCGCCCGTGTGCAGGCGGACGTGGTTGCGGAGGGTGGAGGACTGGCTGAAGCGGCGGTTGCAGAAGCGGCACACGAAGGGCTTGTCCAGCGTGTGGATGCGCATGTGGGAGCGCAGGTTGCTGCGGGAGTTGAAGCCGCGGTGGCAGATGACGCAGCGCATGCGCCCCGTCGTGCTGGCCCCCGTCTCCACCGCGTGGAAATCCTCTGGGGACGACAGGAGACAGTCAGGCGCTGCCCTCCAGCACAGCAGCTCATCCCACCCCAATTCCCTGGGGTGCTGGGTGCCCTGGAAAGCCCCCCCACTTGCTGCTGAGTCACCTGTCCTGGGCAGACTGGCATCCAGGCTGGCTCTTAGGATTTTGGGATGCAGCCAGTGCTGGGAATGGGCTCAGTCAGATTTAGGTAAGGGGGTCATTCAAGCTGAGCTGAATGAATCCCTTATAATGGACACAAAACAAATTTTCCCCTCCCTGGGCTGCAGCAGAGCTGGAGGAGGCGGGTGCAGGAACTCTCAGGAAACCCAGCCATGCTGTCAGCTCCTGCCCCAGTCCCAGCTTCTCCCCTCGCTCTGCTGGGCTCAGACACGGCTCTCTGAGAGTGGGGATCAGAGACAGGGAGCACAGAAGTGGCTCCAAACATAGCCTGAGCTCTGCTGTGCCACACAGAAACATCTCTGGGAGCCACTGAGACAAGCGGAGAGCGAAAGGCCAAGGAGAGAAAACCCTTCTGTGTTGGTGATTAAGATCCCTTAAATGCAGAGGGGGGATGTAAAGGCTGCATCTGCTTGGTGTTTCATGGATTGTTGGGGCTGCCTTGCACTCACACCCTGCGCTGCTCCTCCCTGCCTGGCAGGGTCAGGCAGCGACTGCCAACACCCCACCAGCAGCAGCCGTGGGCAAACTGGCCCGGAGGCATCGCCCTGAGTTACTGAGGACCTGCTCAAGCTGTGTGGATCGTTTCATAGTCCCTGTGCCTGTCCACAGGGAACTGGGATATCTGACATACCCCTGGGGTGTCCCTGCTTGTGCCCACCCAACGGCCTCAGAGCTGGGCGCAGGGTGAGCAGGCAGGGATGCTGCACCCTTGGCTCTTTCTGATGTTACCTACCATGTTTGTTCTTCTTCTGCTCCTCTTCCAGCCCTGGCACACCTGGGATGCCCAGGAAGGTGTTGTGGGAGTTCCCATACCAGACCAGCAGCTCTTGGTCTGGAGGAATCATCTAGAAAGAGAGATAAAGAAAGGGTTGTTGGGAGGGGTGATGAACATCCATCCCTGCACTGATCCATTCAGACCTACCCTGGCTGTGCCCCATTTCTGTGAGACCCTGCTGCCACCTGGGACCTGCCAGCAGTCCCCAACACCCACAGGCAGGCACGGAACAGCCCAGGATGCAGCACTGGAGGTGATGGCGCAGCTCAGCGCCAGCACAAGCCCGCTCCAGGCTCTCCCCCAAGCTGGGATACAAACATGTTTGTGGGCAAATATGCAGCTACAGAGCACAGGGACAGATCTGGAGTCTCCGGAGTGCAGGACCCAGAGGTCCCAGCAGCTCAGGGAGACCAGGACAGGGTGGAACACAGAGACATGGAGAAATAAACCATTTGTGGAGCCACAACCAGCACGAGTGACAGAGACTAAAGCAGGGAGCTGGGACACGGAGCCCCACCTGAGCCCCAGCTCAGGTGCCATCAGCACCCTCCAGCTGCAGGGCACAGGCAGCATCCCCCACCCAGCCCTGCCGGGGCTGATTTTAGAAGGTGGAAATGCAGATCTCTCAGCAAAGGGCTCATGAGCCCGCGGAGCAGAGGAGAGCTCGGGGCTGCTGTCAGAGACCATGGCTCAGGTGTGAAACGCTGCTTGTATCCCCCACCAAAGCTGCCCTGCCTGCAACAACCCAAGGACAGCCACGGGAGTAGGGCAGGGGTTTTGCCTCATCCACGCTCCCGTTTCCATGCAGTGATGGCACTTCTCCTGTCCCTGCTGTTCCTGTCGTGTTCCCGCATGGCCGGGGCGAGCGGCCAGGAAACGCCGCTCACGGCTCCCCTCGTGCAGCTGCGAAGATGGATCCCCTCAGACCAGTTCAAACAACACTAATAACAACATCACTTCATAGAAAAATACATATTTTCCCTAGCAGTCCCTGCTGTTAAGAACCTAATTTAGAAATAGGAACGTTCTGCGTATTGGAGGATCGTTTTCTGTACACTGAGCATGTTAGATTCAAGTAATACAGCATCCACATGAAACACAGATGCTAAGTTCAATCACCTCAACACTAAAAATATGTTGAATTTAAAGCAGCTGAAATCAATAGGAATTTGACTTCATATCTTTGTCCCTCTGCATAAAGACCACACTGGGCTGCAGAGTAGGAATTTGGGAGGCAGAGGAAGCCGATATCCTTTTGCATCCCAAATCAATGACAGTTTCTTGGCGTTATTTACTCTTAACAGAAAATTAGACATTTTTAATACAAGCAAATAAATATTGCTGAAAGGAAAAACCAATCTGCATGGGTGCATACATGGGTGTGTGTTTTTTTTCTGCTGAAGCTGCTGCAGCCACACCAGCAGCAGATGAGCATCCACGTGCATACACCCCAAAGCACATTCAAATTGTCCCCCAGAAATCTTGTGGCCTTCAGATCATAGGCCAAAACTTTCTGCCTTCATTTCATTTTCCAGCAACAGCAACTTTGTGTTGCTGAGAAAGAGGATGGGAAAGACAAATCAGCAAATACGGGCAGGAATGGGCAAAATGCATTAAAATATGTAAGGTAAATAGGGAAAAAAAGGCACCAAATCAATGTGGTTTTTTGGCATGTTGGTGAGAAAGGCATCCAAAGAGATGGATCCCTGGTTGGGAAACCACCAAGGCTGGTAGGAGCTGGAAGGTGACAATGGCTATGCATGGACACCTCTGGTGCTGACAGGGCAGCGTTTAAGTTCAGGCCAGCATGTGTGTGTCCTGCTGAGCTTGGGGAGCAGTGTGACAGCAGGACCCTTCATGCCCACCTCCTCCCACACATCACTTGGGGTTCTGCACTCTCATTGTCTTAAATTCACTGCTTGTGCCAAGGGAATTAAAATCATCCTGCTCCACTGCTCACTGCTTCAGCCCTAGGAGCAAGCCCGCAGCTGGATCATGGCTATACCCAAATATTCACTCACCCACCCTCTCTTCTGTGCCTGCACAAGGTGTAAAAACCACAGCTGTGTTCCTAATTACACCACGGCTACTGGAATTATTTTACTTATTTGCATAATTTAAGAACGGTAGTAAAAAGTACTTAAGATGCTGTCACAACGGGCACAGCTGCCCACAGGAGTATCAGGTCTTAAAACTAGAAACACCTGAAACCTGTTGTCCAGCATGAGAACAGCAAGGAAGCGCTTGGAGCTCTTGGGAAAGGTGGCAGAGCCCAAAGGGTACTCTCCAGGGGAGAAGAGAATATCTGATTCTCTTCCTACCCACCCATTCTCCTTTGCCACCCCGTGGCAGCAATCCCTAACCCAGCCCTGCTGTGGTCCTGTGCCATGGAGCATTTGGGTTTGTGCTCCTCTGTGAGGCTCCTGTGCAGGAGCCTGGGCAGATCCGGAGCGCTGCCCGTGCCCACGGAGCCAGCAGACACTCGTGGTCATTCCCAGCTGAGACCCTCTCCCAGCTGGAAACACTCCTCAGGTGACACTGAACCCTATACTGGGGCAGCACAATCCCACAGTGCTGGTCTGGGATGGACAGGGATGGACAAGTCCCCTCTTGTGACTCTTTAAGCCAAAGCTGCTGCTCAGGGCCATCTCCCTGAGCCACCACCTTTCTCCACCTGCAACAGCGTTGGGTTATGGGGACACTGCCCATAAGCAGGGCTGGTCCCCACCACCACCCTGCTTTGGCACTGTGTGATTTGTCACCAATAATGCCGGGGAGCCAGACACCCACCTCCATCCCAGAGGCTCCTGCAGGGAGCTGTGGGCACCTTCAGCCGTCACCCCTCTGCACAGCAGTCTGTGCCACCCCGGGACCCTGCCCCTGCTCCTGTGCACACCAGCACAGACCAGCACTTCATGCAGGAGCACAGGGATGAGGGGGCAGCAAGAGCCCCTTCCCCACAGTGTACAGCCCAGGGCAGAACTGCACCAGCACTACTCCCTGCCCTCTCCATGGCTCCCTGCTCCCTGCACAGCCAGTGATGCCCAGGCAAAGCAGTGTGGAGTCAGGCACAGCCTGTGCTCAGCACCTGGGTTTCACAGAATCTCCCAAACTTTATCCTGCTGTAAAGAAGCAGGTTCTACACAAAATCCCACTTTTTCAATAGAGCATCCAAGCCATGTCCTTGCCCAAAGCCCCATATGGGCCAGAATTGCAGCCCTTTTCATGCTTTACACCCCAAACAAGGATCTACTCTTGCCCTGTTCAACACACATCACTTCATGAGTCCACAGAAAGAGGGCAGAGGGGAGAAGAACCTTTACTACCCCCTGAAGCCCATGCAATGGCCCTTCCCTGTGGTTTCTACCTCAGCTGCTGGATTTGAGTGCCAAGGATGGAAAAACTGCCGTGTCCTTCCACAGACACCCCACCAACAACCCAAAAAACAAGGGAGGGAGAGTCTTCAGCCCCCCTTACCTCAATGGCCTTGTAGAAGATGCTGTTCCCGATCTGGACCACCTCGAGGTTCTGCTCCTGCTCGTTCCGTGCACATTTGATGTAGGTCATCCAGCTGCGGTGATCCTCCTGGCTGGCGTCGATGAAGTACCGCACTGTGCCGTCCTCGTTGAACACCTGAGGGCAGAGAGCACTTGGTAGCAATGCTGCCCTCGCAGTGGGCTGAGCCCCTCCACCTTCTGCCTCTGGGATAAAGCCCTGGACAGGGACAAACTCAAAACCTCGGGGCTGAGATCCTGACAGCAGCCGGGAGATGCTGAGCCCTTCCTGCTCGTGGTGCTGGACTGCAGCAGGGATGAGAAATATGCCCTGCTCTCACTGGCACGGCTGGTCCTGCCAGCCCCTATGTCCCTGGATAACCCAGTTCCCTTCCTCAATCTCCCTTCTCATCAGAGCCCCCTGGCAGCTCAGCCCTCGAGGAAGGGGCTGTTCAGCATCCTGCAGCTGCCATGGGAGCGGGAGAATCCCTGCGTGGAGGGGAAAGGTGCATGCCAGGCCTGGAAAGATGCTTAGCAGGGTGCCAAAAAAGATGAGGCAAGTTTCTGTTAGGTAGAAAATTACAATAATAATTAACAATAATTAAGGAGTGCAGGTCTGAGTCAAGCAAATTAAAAAATAGGAAAACTCTCCCTACTGGCTGTGCATTTTTGCAAAATGTTCTGGCATCTCAGATTCCCCCAAACTCCACAGTTTCATTCGGGATTAATCTCGCCAGGGCTGGGGCAAAGCAAGGAGCAAGGAACAGGGCAGAGCTGTTTTTGTCCACTGTGGTCAGTGCAGGCAGCAACCAGTCGGGTGTTCCAGCAGGACAGGATGGGCAGGGCAGGGTGTGATTCGCCTGCACGGACACGAGCAACAGCATTTCGGGGCTCCTCTGTGGGCTGGCTGCACCCCGAGGGCTGGGGAAACCTCATCCTTCTCCTGCAAGGGGTTCCTAAACCCACCTGGCCAGATATTTGCATGAATGGGGAAACTGAGGCGCAAGGATGGTGCCCAAGCACGGGACAGAGCCCCAGCAGCCCATCCCTGCTTCTCCCCAGACCAGCCGGGGCTCGGGGTTCGGGGCGTTCGTTACCTCCCACATGAGGTTGTTGTTCTTGCACAGGTCCACATGTTCGGGGGAGATGACCCTGCCCGTGAACGGCCCCATCTCGGTGCCAGCCTTGATCCAAGTCTTGGAGAAGATGCCGAGCCCTTCCCCGGGGATGGAGCTCTGGGCGATTATCACTTCCGACGGCAGCACCAGGCTGGAGAGCTTCTGCACCTCTGCGAGGGGGGAGACCGGCTCAGAAAGGGACAGGGGTGGGGGAGAGGGGGGAGACCGGGGCGGCGGGGACCCCGCCCAACCCCGGCCCCTGCCCAGACCCCGGGGCTGAGCCTTTTAAACGCCCAACCGGGCTCCCACAAAGCGGTACAAGGTTTCCCCCGGGGCATTGAGGAGGTACCTGGGAAAAGCATCCCGGGCTGGGCGAGGGAGCGGGGCTGGGAAAGGAGGTTAAATGGTGTCTATTTCGGCCCATCCAGCAATTTGTCATGCTGTTAAAGTGATCTGCATTCATTAAACTCAACTAGAAAGAAATTGCTAATTCTAAATTCATTAGTCCTTTAGGAATGCTGTAGCGGTACATTGTGCCTGAATGGCGCGAGGGCTTGTTTAAAAGGGCCCAGGAATTCCTCTTACAAAATGGGGAGATGAGATGGTTGACATATCGTGAATGGAAATGGAATTAGCCTTCATGGTAAATTAAGAGAGGAACAGAAATCCGAGAGGGGGAAAAGGGAGCTGGGACGCCCCGGCGATGCCGGGGCGAGAGAAAAGATATTGTCCCGGGCGGCTGAATGCGGGACGGCCCCGGCCCCCCCAGCCCGCGGTTTAAGTGGGAACTTTCTCAGGTCAAGCCCAAGTTAACCAAATGAATTTAAAGCCCTTTTTCCCCAGTCCCACGCCTGGGGAGAGCGGCGCGCCGGGACCGCATCCCGCCGCCGGACTCGGGAGCCGGCCCGGGGCCGCTGGGGGAAACCGGGGGGATCGGGGAGGCTCCGGAGGGGTCACTCACCTCCGGAGAAGGACTGAGCCAGGACTTCGGCCGTGAAGGCTGTCTTGGGGCTGCTCTTCTCCTCGAAGAGCTGCTCGCCCAGGACGTTTCTCCAGCGGCCGTAGAGGAAGCTGTGCAGGATGTCGGAGGTGATCACCTCGGCCAGCGAGAGCCCCTGCGGCTTCAGCCCAGGCTTGAGGACCAGGGCCTCGGCGGGCAGCACCGAGCCCATCATGGGGGCGAGGCGGCGGGGCCGAGCGCGACGGGGCCGGGCGCGGCGGGCGGTGGGCGGCGGGCTGGGCTCCGTTCGGCTCGGCGGCTCCCGCCCGGCTATATATGAGCTTCATTGACCCTCCTAATTGGTTATTAATGACCTCCCTGACGTTGGCGGAGAGACTGGGGCTGCCGGAGCGAGGCGAGCCGTCGGAGCCCCCCCCCTCCCATCTCCTCCTTCCCTCCCCTCCCGGGGGTGGGGTGGCTGGAGGGAGGGAGGGACACGGCGAGCGCACACACACACGCACACACATACACAAACACACAAACACACACACAGGATACACACACACACATATACACACACCGATGCACACACACGCACCGGCTCGCCCCCCGCATCTCCCGGCCCGGGCAAACCCAAACCCGGGCACCTGCCCCGGGCACGACAGAACAGCAGCGAAACGGTCAGAAATGTCCCCGCCGGTGTCCCACGGACGGGGCACACCCTCGGGCACGGTCCCGCTCCCCACCTGGCCCCGCGCTCGTTTTGGGACTGAAACGCTGCGCTTTGGGGCCATTGAACGCCACAACGAAATCTGCGGCCCCGAGCCCGACAGCTCCCGGTGCTCTGCGGCGTTTGGCCCTCGCAGCCCCGGGGGAACGGGCTGAGGCTCCCGCAGCTGGCCCCGACCGTGCTCGGCTCCCCGCTGCCCCCCGCACCCCCGGCTTTCCCGGCCGGGACCGGCAGCACCGGGAGGCTGCGGCGCTGCTCCCCCGAATACCGGGAGAGGGTCCCCAAGCACGGCCAGGGTGGGACGCGCTCCCGGGGCTGATCCCGGCTTGACCCCAAGGCAGGGCTCGCCCGGCTGCCGCCACCAGCCCGGCCGGTCCCCGATGCCACATCCCGGTGGGAATTGTGCCCAGGTGTGGACTGGGGAGCGCTCGTGGATCCCCCGGCTCCCTGCAATCGCAACCATGCCCCGCCGGGTTCCCCCAGGGCCGGACCCGCTCCCCGGCGAGGCTGCAGCGTCTCCGGGGCTCTGCCGCCGCATCGCCCCGTCCCCGCACCCGAAGGCATTGCCCGGCCAGCCCCTGCCGAGCCCAGGAGCTCCGCAGCCACCTCCGCTCCCCGGCAAGGCGGCATCACGGCGGTGCCCCCAAACCCAGCGCTCCCCTCGGGGCCCGAGCTTTGCCGGCTCAGCAAAGGGTTAATCTTCCCCGGATTTAAACCTAGTCCTGCTGTGTCGGAGCTTAGAGCCCTCTCCTTAGCCTTGTTCTTTTGATTTTCATGGGGACGAGGGGCTGTAAAGGGCTGCGGGAAGAAGGCTGGGCCCCCAAGATCCTCAGGCGCTCAAAGGCCGGTTCCCGCACCCCGGGGTCCCAGGAAGCCCCTCCGGGTCCCACCGTGCCCGGAGCACCCCGGCCTCTCCCCTGGGTGGGTGTCTTATAGGGGGAAGATGTGGAGTGTCTTCTGGCCCCGGGTGAAATGATGCTACAACCCATGTGCAATTATTTCTATTAATCCAATCAAGAAGCAACGCAGATGTCAGGAACCCACCCAAAGCTGCGCTTACTTTCGGGTCTTCGCCCGGCGAGAGGCAGCGCTGTTCTGGAAAGGGGATCTTAACAACCTGTCAAGGATTGGTTTGGGGTTTAATAAGCATAAAAAATAAGTTTATTCTGTTTTTCTGGACTTTGACTAGAGGAGCCGTCAGAATGTTTCAGCCTTCTAAACATAACGCATCAGGTGGAAAGGTTCCCAACACCGGCTCACTCCAGCCGCCGAGGCAAGCCAGTCATCGGATTGCTTTTTTTATTTATTTATTTTCATTCCCGTTTCCCCAGGAAAACCCTTCAACCTTCAAGTTATCCCGGGACAAAAAAAAAATAATGGATGTTCTTGAACCCTCCGCGGCTCCGGTGCGGGCTGCGCTGAACCCCGCTCCCGGCTGCGGGGGCTCGGCGGTGAGGGGGGGTAGTGGTAGAAAAAGGTGGGGGAAAAAATTCTTCCATTTTCTACGTGGTTTTAAATATCCCCAGCTGTTTCCCAAAGCTTCTTCCCGGTCCTAGGAAGGTGCTTTGCTGTGTGTTCCCCCCTTTTACCCCCTACTCATTTCTCTTTTTTAATATCGCAGCTATCCCTCCTTTTTAACATTTAAGAGGAAACAAGTTTAATATTCATGGCTGTTAATAGAGAAGGGCCATTATCGCCGCCCCATTGTTCTGAGCCCCGCACAATGCTGCTTGTATTTTCATGTGTATATTCCCAAAGTTCCTTCTGAGCGTTTAGTGAGCACTTTAATATTCATGGGTGTTAATAGAGAAGCCCTCAGTATATTGGCATATTGTTGGGAGGTGTACATATTGGTCTGACTCTGAATAGCCACAGTCCTCTTTTCTTTTGCTCTGTTTTGCAGGGTTGATGGGCCAGGAGTAAATGGGCATTTTTCCCCCCCGTCTCCCCCTTACAGAGAGAACATCTTTATTCCAGTCCCAGACTTTCTGGTTTCCCATTCAGGACCCTCAGAAATAATGTCAGGCAGAAGAAAAGTGGAGCAAATCAATCTTTCATGGTCTTTTTGAGACCAATTTGACATCCATGGACTCTTCTTTTCTTTCACAGCCTACAAGGGGATGGTCAGGATCTGGACAAGGTTGGGGTCTGATGAGGGGAGACATGGGATCATAATGCAGCAAAGAGAGAAAAGAAAAGCAAAACAAGAAAAGATTGCAGGGATGGGGTGATGGAGGAAAAATGAGGGTGAATGACAGTGCAAGAAAGGAGATTAGAGCCCAGCAGCTGCTTTTTGGGGGGTTGGGGGGAGGGGGGAGCTCTCTCCCCTCTTCCAGCCCTTCGCATGAATAGGATTTGAACAGAGCGGAGATTGATTTATAGTTATTGCAGTTGAACATTTATTGCTCTTAAAGAGTGGCGGGGAGAAAAGAGAGAAAAGGGGTTTGAAAAGCTCCTTTCTGTATTAAAGAGGTATCAAATGAAGACTGCTGAGATAATATACAGTGGCCAATGGGAATTTGATTTGCTTTAAAATTTAACTCTTGTGGGGCCGCCGGCGATAGAGCCGGGATGCGGGGATGGAGCCGCCGCTGCCCCGGGCCGCTGCGGCCGCGATCCTTTCCTCAAACCCCGCATTCCCTGCCCGGCTTCGCTGCAAGGTCTGCGGCCGCTCCTGTGCGGCGGGGAAGGGCTGCAGCGCAGGAGGGGGATTAGTGCTTAGTTAGTAAAATTTTATATTATTTTAATTATTTTTTTTTTTCCGTAGAGGGTAGAATACAGGAGGGATGCAGAGCTACGAAAATAACCGGCGCAGGGAAGAACGCTTTAGAAGCTGAGTTTTTCTTGCCCTAAAACCGGAGGTTTCTCCTCTCCGGCAGCAGAAACGCGATCGCAGCCGAGTCCCCTCGGGCGCAGAAAGGAGCCCATTGTTCAATGGGGAGAAATACATTTTTAGCGGTGATTGAAAGCTCCCCTCTCGTTTGAACTTTAGAAGAAAGTCCCTGGCAGGGAAGAGCATCCCCCTCCCTCTGCCCCAACATCTGTTTGGAGCAATCCAGGCTCTAGGGCAGAGCCGGGCTCTGCCCCCTCCCAAAGTCATTAAAAAGATATTAGTTGAGCTGAGAAAAGTCCAGCGCAGCCCCCGATCCGGGGTGGGGTGCGGGGGGTGGTATGTGTCATTAAAAACGATTTTGGATTTGCCAGCGCTAATACGAGGCGAAGGTCTGAGTTCAAAAGCCCCCGGCCCCGGCCGCCCCGCCGCGCCCTGCCCGCTGCCCGCCGCCGCGGTGCCCGGAGCCGGCGCGGGGCGGCCCGGCCGACCCCATCACCTGCTCCGTGCGCCCCCCGAGCGCCGGGCAAGGGCGGCGGCGGAGAGCCGGGCCGGGAGCCGGGGCCCTCAGCTGCTCCGGCCGCAGCCTCTGCGCCTCCACGGGCTGCAAATGCCCCGGGAGCCGGAGGGAAAGGGGGGCAGGAGGGATCATCGCGCCCCTGCGGGAGCCGGGGGAGCCGGGGCAGGAGGGATCATCGCACCCCTGCGGCTGCCGCAGGAGCCAGGCGCCTCCGAAGTTGCTAAATGTGTCATTTATTAAAGCATTCAGGGGGCTTTTCTTTGGCGTTTGCTTGCAAACTCACAAAGGCCGAGCTGCTGTTTGGGGGTCTTTTCTGATGGAAAAAGGGCTCGGAGACCCCCGGCACAAAAGAAATCCTGGCAGTGCTTTCAATGGCCAGGACTCAATGAGGGGGACCCTGCGCGGAGCGGGCGGGGGCGAGGGGCCGCCCGGTGCTGCCTGAAAGGCAGGCCTGAATGTAATGGGGAGATCTGCGTTTATTTGTTGGGATCACATTTAATTAGCTTAGTACAACCCTTGAAAGACAAAGGGACCTCAATCTGGATCCAATCTGAAGCTCGTTTGGAGAGCGAGGGCTCCTGGAAAAGTCAAAAGAGAGAAAGGAGAAAGAAAAGGGAGGCTGGGAGAGAAAGGGGCTGGGGGCCCAGCCAGGTGACTGGCACGCGTGAAACAAGGGGGCCTTTTGGGCACAAGGCAGGGCTCAAAAGGGAGGGAGGAAAATTGCCTCTTCCTCAGGTTTTACCTACTTAAACCCCCTGAAGGGGCTGGAGCTGAAAAGCCTCAATGGGGGCTAAGGAGGCTGCAAAGCAAACAGCAGCGCTGGAGAGGGGCTCGGGCCCTGCCGCCGCAGCAGTTGGTGACACTCGGTTATGGGAATGTGCCCAAATGTTACCTGCGCCCGGGAGCGCTCCGCCAGCGGGGCAGGGAGCGCGGCAGGACAAGGCGAGGACAAGGCGATGCCCAGGGTGAGCCCGGGCTCAGGGGGGCAGCGGATCCTCGGCGTGCTCCCTCTCCAGGGTGGGACTTCCCACCTGTGCCTTCGCCCGCCCCACGCAGCACCCCTGCATCATCACTGGGGAGCTTCAGAGCGGCCGTGGCTGGGCTGGGACACCCGGGAGGGGTCCCCATGGGTGCACCCCTTGTTTCAGAGCAGCC